AAAAAAAAAAGGAAGTTTATGTTTAAAAAAAAAAAAAGTTCTGGTTTTGGTTTTTTTTCTCCATATGTAATTTAATAACTCTCATGTGTTCATCTAATATAAGTTATAAATTTGGCATGTGATCCAATTGACTAATTTTTCAGAGACATGACTACAGTCAGCACTGCTCATTCCTCCCAGCTTCAAAAGTCCTAAGCAGTGAATGGTGCTGATTAGTCACAGCTGAAGAGTTTAGAGCTTCAACATACTAGTTGAGTATTAATTTTCACCTAATTGGAACAGTGCAAATATCCAGGAGAGGGAGGAATAGTTAAAAGATGCTGTCAGGCTTATTCCCCATAAAATTAAACTGAGCCAAGTAGAAAACAAGTCTGTGCAGTCTGCCAAAAGGTGGAGATCTCAGGCAGGAAGCAGTAGATGCTCTTCCTGTCTTCCCTCCTCAGCTCATGTGAAGGGCAGTGCCTAAGGCAGACTTCAGCTCTTCATGCAGAATATAGGAACCAAGGTTGTGAGCCTGGAAAACTTCTGTTGGAATACCACCTCCTTCCTGAGAGATCCTAGATTTCACTCTTGCTTTTTATATGAAAATTCCCCAGCATTTTATGCCTGCATGCATTTAGAGCTGATCCAGTCTCAATAGGACTGAGTCGTCCTAGTTTTAATCTGACTGGGATCCAGAAATGAGATGTACTAGCATTCAGTCCAATACTTGTGCTCAGAGAAAGCCCAGAAGCCTCAGCCAGGTTCACAGACAAAATGCAGCTGTGGCTGCTGTTTTCTTTGAACACAGCCTGCGGCTGAGGTGGTGCTCACCTTCTCATGTGAGCTCACTCAGCCGGAGCGCGTTTGCTTTGCCTGAGGAAATGAGAACCTAACAGACGCTGTGCAAGGTAGGAATGCCTTCTCCTGGGGCTGTTTCACACAGAAGGAAACTGCTGAGTCCTGGAAGAAAGGAGTGAAAGAGTGACCAAAGCTCAGCAGGCAATTTGCATTGGAACAGGAGTGATGGGTGTTCTGGTCCCTCTTCCAGAGTGTTCTGTATTTTACCACTTTATTGGATTAAAATACAGAAGCTGGCCTTAGAGAAGGCCTAGAACAAAGGTTCTTCCCAACAAACCTTTTCCACCTTCTGAACGACCTAACTACCAGTTATGCTCCCTCTTCTCCTCTCTTTCTCCCTCTTTCAGTTAATGTAGAATTACTTTGCGCAGAAGTGCAACTTAGCTTGAGAGCGGAGAGCACCCCTTCAACAACACTAAGAAAGCTTATCAACTTAAATTCATACTTCAGGTGAATACATTCTTCTAAGAAGGAGAAAAAAAACAACCCCCACAGGCATAGAAGGGCATTAAACCTAGACCTTTCACTTTCTGGGTGAATCATGATGGAGAAATTGAGGCAGCCAGATCATCACCTTTTTGTTTTCCTGTAGTGTTTGAAGAAAACTAAGTCTACTTACTTATTTGGGACAAAAGTGTTAAGTGCATACAATGGGGCTTCAGGCTGTGGATCCTAAGCAGATGGAGAAACTTTTTTCCAGCTCTGAGTAATACACCTGGGATTGAAGAATGGCACTAAAACTCACCCCGGTTCTTAGCGTTCCCTGCTGATTAGGCAGCTCTGCTTGGTAGTTTCAGCTTTACAAGGAAACTATCGATCAAACACTTGCTTCTCAATTCATTCCAGTAATGCAGTGGCTAAAAATGTTGATCGGTGGCACTTTAGATGCCTGTACTTTTGACTGGTTCCAAGTCCTGCATTGAAACTCCTGCATTAAGGGATTATAACAAAAATAGGTTTATAACACTAGATCTCAAAAGCTTCCTAAATGCAGGTTTTGGTTTTTGTTTTTGTTTTGTAATTAAGAGTTTTAATTTCAATCACGTTAACATTTCACTTTGTTAGATTTTAATTTAACAAAAATATTATGATGAAAATTGTACTATACCCAGCTGCAAAATCATCACGAAAGTGTTCAACATACAATATTAAAGTGAAGGTACACTTTGCTGTTTTGAGTGAGGTTCAACATTTTCCTGACCTGCTGCTGTTAATCATTTTAAGCATATGTTTACATGGCTGTTTTTGCCAACCCACTTTCAGCTGTCACCAGCCTCCACAGAAAATAATAATAAACATTTGAGTATGCCACAAGGAGGTAACTGAGAGCAGGTTAGATGCATAAAGAGGTCTGGATGTTCCAAGAACATAAAACCATACAGCCTTCCTCATTTTTGCCAAATGTCATAATTTGGCCCAACAACAACATACAGTGTAGATTTTCAGGTGCAAATTTTATTGTGGATCGTAACAAAGGTTTCAGGAAAAAGTACAGGAAAAAAAATCAGTGATGGACTGTCTCTTATTTACACAATACATAAAATATATTTTGTGAAAGCTACTAACTCTGCAGCTGAAAGCAAGGCAGTTTAATTCTGACTAACTAGTATTTTCAGATACACACTTTATTAAGCAAGTTTTGCAAATCCTTATTGTGTGTCAGTTTTTAATGAGTTTGATCTTGAGATTTAGAATCAAATATTTAAATAACACTAACAGTGCTGCAGTGTGTAATATTAAACAGAAAAAAACCCTCTTATTATTGTAAATAGAAATAGGCACACAGAATATATCATCAAATACAAGAGATTAGCCCTAGTTAATGTTTAATGACTCAAAATATCTTTGGAAAATATGTGGATGTTGAGGTATGTATAATTTTGGTGCCACTATCTGCTTGCAACAGACTATTTTTCATGTGACACTTAAAATTAGTTTAAAATGAGATTTTTTTTTTTTTTTAAACTTTCTACAAGGACTTCTTCTGCCTTGAAGTTTAAATTAACTGTAAAGAGAAAACCTACACTAATCCTTATAGTAAAATGACAAAAGTCGGTTAGGTAACAGTGAAGAAAATCTTGCAAGAGGTCTCCAAGGCACTATTCTTTTTTTGGGTGCTTGCCACACACGGACAATGCATGAAGACTGTTTGGATAGGACAAGAATAAGTAGACCTAAAGCTAATGTATAGTATCTTTCTCTCTATGTATAGTATCTTTCTCTCTAATGAAATAAAACCTACCAGTTTTAGAAGCCATTCTGGTTTACAACACTTTGTCTTGGCGTAAGGTATCTGCTAAATTAGTCTGAAATACGAATTTAAAAACATACTTTATGAAAACGAGTATGAGCAAAGGTCAATCAAGTAGCATTTAGCTCAATCAATGTAGTGTGCCTGAATGTAAACCACGCTCAAATACTGTAACCCTCTGTAAAAGAGAAGGGACCAAATGGTCTGTTGATGTCATGCCATTGATTTACATGGAGATATGCCAACAAGCAGCTTGGTCCAGAGTCAAAAGAAGTAGATTAGGACCTTATCCAGCATTTGTTGGTCCACTCAAGTGTCTGAACTATGTGGCTGCAAGGGCTGCTGTTCCCCCTACAATAGGGAGATATCTGCAGACTAAGAACTAGCAAAAACTAGGTAGTCTGTGGTCACCCTTTTCAATAATAACTGAGTGACTCAGTGAGTCTACAACTCCCTCTGAACTATAGAGCAATCCAATTATGGGCTTGGTATGTGCATCTCAGGTAAAATTATGCAAAGATTCCTTTGACACCTTTTTCTGGAGCCTGTTCTTTATGGTGACTAAATGCCAGTGAGCTGGGAAATAAATTTGAAAGGAGTTGACCTTAAGATACTAGGATTTTAGGTAACTATTTTGACAATCTCTTTTTGACATACTACAAAAATCTGTAGCTCCTCTTTGGAAAAAAAAAAAATTGCGTGTGGTTGACATAATCTCCTGGGATGGGTCAACAGGCAGAGGATGCCCATCTCCAGACATGAAAACAGAGCTTGTCACCACACAGCTGCCACAGCAAATGGATAGATTAAAAGTGGCAGAAGCAGAGAGAACCCTGTTCGTTTGGCAGATTCATAATGGCCTGATGGCAGAAATGTTTATTGTCTTTTTGACCTTCATGGCAGGCTAATACTCTGCCAGCTTCCTGTGGTTTCAACAACCTGTGGGCCTCCATGCGACAGAACACCACATAGAAGCAGAAGCACATTGATTTGGTGTGTCAGACCCAGAGATCATCATGAGATCTTAAGGCAGTAGCCTGGACTCATGCCACCTGGCTTTAGGAACTGAGTCAAAGCATGAAGAGAACAGCCTCGAGATCACAGGCTGCCTCCAGGTGACTGTTCAGGTCTTATGCGGGCTAAATCCATCGATTTGGATATCATTTAAAGTGATTAAAAATAAGACCAAGATTGACCTGAAACTTAAACAACTTCTATCCTAATATAAACAGTGAGGCACATTCTGCATTCAGCCATACATTCATATACACTGCTGTGTATCAAGAATAAAAGCCTCCTAGGTGTCAGCAGAATTTGGCCCCGCTAGGATATCATCCCTGAAGGATGATATCCTTTTACATCCCTGAAGGAAAGTGTTGGCCTGCACCGAGTGTTGAAGAGTAAACTATCTATAGTATTATTCTATATTCCTATAATAATCTATACCAAAGCAATAAATATTAGATATAATCTGTATATTAGTTTTCATATTTATCTGATAGCTACTTAAATCTATATTGTCAAAAATATAAGCAGTGACCCACTCCTACATGGCAGCCTATACTGTTTGTGTGCATGTGTTAAAACTATCACATGGGTCTGTATTTAGACATGATGCTCTTGTTTCTATAGCAGATTTTAATTTACATGAATTCCTACAGATATTTGTGTAAAGGTTTGCATTTTGTTGAAATGTTGTATGGTTCTGCATCATTGCACTTCAGCATAAGGATTTCATCATTCTGTCTCAGTTTTATGCTTTTTAAAGATGGAAAATAGTGTGACAGATTTCAGTATCTCTAGTAATGTCATACCCATATAGTACAGGAATATATATTTTCAAGTCCAAGCAAAAACCCAGTCTCACTGTTCCTAACCCTTTTCCTTTACATGAATAACTCTCCTCTTTAAAGAAAAGCGCATTCCTGAAAACAAGGACAACCAAAATGTTTTGGCACTGCTGACAAGATGTGAAAAAGTATTTCAGCTGAGTCTGATCTGCAGAAAAACCATCATACATTTGTTAATGAACTACTGCAATTACTGCAGTCTAGTTTTGCAAATGAACAACTTACATGCCGAACATTAAAACAAACTAATATAGCATGAGATGTTTCGTCTCTTAGAAAACGCTTGACGAATTCCTATTGTTTAGCTTCTCCAAAAGATCAATAATATAATAGACTAAAGAAAACATATGTTCATTTTCACTGAGGTCAAAATGTTCAGTTATTTACCTCTATAAAAGGCAAATAATTGTTCTTTTCTGCACCTCTAACTTTACAAATTCAGTTAAAAATATATAAACAAAATGTACCCAAATATTTTAATGAAGATATTTAGAATGCGTATAACAATACCACTATTGATTTCTGCGTTCAGAGAACACTCAGGTTTATTGTCCTTTGAATTAAATATTGACCTTTCTTTTGCAAAAGCTGATATTTACTTCTCAGGAGAATAGTTTCTATAGTCCCCTCAGAAGAAGTCAATATCAGCTTATTATTTAACACCAGTTAGTGTTCATTAAAGATAGAACGTAATTACTTGCCTTCACTCTATGCTAAAGTTGTGCTGCAAAATTATACATGAAAAACAGAAAGCCCAGAAAAAAAAAAGAAAAATATATGGACAAGGTCAAGAGCTGACAGATTGCTTTCTCTTTCATCTATACCAGTTCAACCATAATCAGATGACTATTCCAAAGTGTACTTCCTGCACTAAAGAGTCCAAAGATTTCTAAATAGTCTAGTCATTTCTGCCAAAGGGTTTTTTTTCCCTTACTGTGTAACTCAGGAACCCAAGAATCTGTGGTTGGATTGGACCACTTCTTTTAGAAAGGTAACTAATACTAGCATCAAGACCTTTAGCAAGTGATTAACTTAACTCCTCAACTTATGGCCGTGTAGTTTCTGATGATTTACACTTGTGCCAGGCAGTCTGCATCAGCTTCTTTATGAAAACATGACTGGTGCTTGATATTAGCACCAGTCTAATGGACTAGCTGATGGAAGAATCAGCTCCCATTTCTCGTGTGTCTTTGTTACAACTAAAACCAAAAAGATCACAGCTTATATTTGGTCAAGATAAGAACAAAAGTATTCCTTTTAGCCACGTAAAATGATCAAAGAAGCTCGCGCTTCATAGAGTTTTTGCAGATGGGAGTAGTTCTGACCTAAAAGCAGTGTTTTCGTATCTGAAAGGCTACAGGAATGTTTCTGGAAAATGAATCTTATATTTTGTGTTGGATATTATGCAGCAAAATACATTCATCATAAAATCAGCCAAAGGGACAGATTCTAAACCTCATTTAGTAGTAAATCTACACTTACAACCTAGTAATCCTGTGTTTCAACTACTATTAAGGAAAAGAGGCCATTCTTTTACTTTCTAGCACTATGCCAACAATACAAACATTATAAGGAAACTGTACTATAGAGGTTTTCTTTCCTGAAATCTGTACGTTGCAGAAAAGATCTCTTCATTGAACACAAACGAGTGAACAATCTGCAAAGTGTGCTTATGCTGAGTGCTCAGTAACATATATTTAAAGCAGAGCATCACCCTATAAGTAGTCTGAAGGAACGAGTAGCTACTTCAGTTTGTACCCATAAAATTCAAGCCTAACAGCGCTGGAAATATAAATTAATCAGGTTAAGTGCTTGAGAAAGTCCTTTCTTATTAGCTGTGATGTGAACAATAGTATTTAACTCTTTCTCGCTACGCATATTTCTCACAAATAGAAAGCAACCATCTTACCATGGATAGAAGATACTCCTCCCCTCTCCAGATTAGAAACAAAAATGTAAAAAATATTAAAATAGATACTCAAAACAGAAACTTGCTATGATTGGCTTAAAAACCTGATCTGAATTACAGTTACTAAGTCTTTTTGGTTGTAGCTTCACCTACTACAGAACAGTGAGAAGACAGAGAGATTATTGAGCCATGGATTCTCCCAGAAGATACCCAGGTAGATTCCTGCAAACATTTTTCTTCAGAATTTAGATCAGTTTTACATAGCCTTAGTTTTAAATCTACTATGAAAATAGTAGCGCAAGAATAATCAATTAAAAATTCTTCAGATAAATGGTTTACTTCCTTTTAGAATAAAGATGCACAGGAATACTGACGAAAAATATGCTAGTTATGATGGTTTCTTTGTTAAACCTCCTTCGCGGTCCTAAATCAATTCTTCACTCCACATTCCTGTATTTGGTAAACAAATTGTACAGTACTCTCAGTGTAGACTTCAAGTCACAATTTACAATATCTAGAAAAAAGACAGAGAAAAACATATTAGTAACTCCATATGCCCAATACATTTGCAGATAGAGTGTCCACTCTTCTCTCCCTCTGCTTGCTCAGAAGCATATTCATAAGGATTACAATTACAAAGATAGTCAGAAGGAGCAGAAATATAGAGGACAGTTTTTAAACTGACAGCTCAACCGTAAGTTTTTCAACCACTTTTAGTTAGGGATACAAACAACTATCGGTACTGCAGTAGAAACGTAACCAAGGTTTAGATGCCTACAGGAGACAAATTGTACCTAGGATTACATATATTTACAAAACTGAATCTTCAGTCAGTTGTGGCTGAAAAGTAGTAGTTTTGAAAAATCAACAGGCAGGAACAAGTGAAGCTGTTCTCATATGTCAGGATTGCAGGGCATGGCCCACTTTGGGCTACAACTTCCTTTTTTAGGCCTAATTTCAGCAAGATACTTAAAGGCAAGGTCAGATTTTCTAAAGGATCTAAAGAAGTGCAAGTGCCCCTGGAAGATACTTCTGAAAATGCTTTAAGTTAGCAGATGTACATGGCTGAACCAGTCCTTAGATACTCAAAATGTAAAGTAAAGGATTTCAGTGAATCAAAAAGCTAATGAATACTTGCTGTTTGCAAGAGAAGCTGTTGAGAAAGTCAGTATTGTTTCACAAGAAATCTATAAAACAAACTGACATGAACTAGTGCAGTAGTGTATGTTAGTGCTTCAAGGGATATTCACACCATCTCAAACAGGAGCTTCGAATTGCCTATCAGAAAGGCTCCATCTCTTTCTTGACAGTAAAGGAATTTAATCTCATTATTTTGGGTCCTTGGAATTGACCATGAAGGTGGGAAGCAGATGGTGTGCAAGTACTCCCATTATCTTCAGAGCCTGCAAGTAAACCTAGTAAATTGTATAATTACGAAATAGTTTTGCTATTATGTTTATCTACACTGATGTCTTCTCCCAGATTATGCTGGCGTTATACTTTGAAGAACCAATCTAATCAAAACCATGCATGGAGTCCCAAGGTACGCAAACTGTGAAGGGCTGAAGATGATAGTTACATGACAAGCTGACATGCATGGGCAATTTAAGACATTATAAAAATCTTTCACTTCTACAGAGGGAAACAATGACATCTAGATTTTAAGAATGGGACTATGCATGATCATGAAATGAGCATGTGCGTTTTGCGGCTCTTGATGCATCAGATCAAAAACACTTGATGATAAAATGAAAACAAAATGCCAAAGCTACAGGAACGGCATGTTGCCCCACAACATGTTGCTATGCCCTGCAATACTATTTGTATATGTCTGAGGAAGTTTCTTCTTTCGTGCCAGCAGCAAGACACCCAACTCCCTCATTTCCTAATAGATAAATTTGACAGTCTTTGCAAGGTTATCATAAAATTCCACTGTGAAAACAGAATTCCACAAAAAGGGCCAAGCTAAAAAGAAGCGTACATTCAAAGAAAGAAGAGTTATTTCCGTTGCTATATTGTGTTCAGCTAACATGTATAGCATTTTACTGGTTGCAATTTTGAAAAAGAGAAATTTAGGTTTTGCTTTGATGTACATGTTTCAAGAATGATTTGAAAAAGCTCAAACTGTAAATTAATTCATTATAGACTCAGTAGATTAACGTTCTGGCCATTTTTAAAGTAAAAGGCCATGGAAAGCTTTTTAAACCCTTTCAAGTATATTGCAAATAATCCAAATAAACTGTTGACCTCATAAAAATCATTAGTTTTCATATTCATTTATTTAACCACATTCTTTATTCCACTAAATACATTTTTCATATTCTGAAGCACTTTTCAGTGTTTTTTTCCTCAAGAACCTCAGAGAAATAGCATAGGAATTTAAAGAGTATTTAGCATACACATTTAGGGTAAGATCCTTTTCAATACTCTTTTGCTCACTGGAAATTTTAAGTATGGGCATAGTGCCCAATGTAACAACACATAAAACAGATGTGTTTTTCCATTCACATTGGGCAGGAAGTTTCATATTAAGCGTCTCAATAATTGCACAAGAAATGTCTTATATATGCTGAAATATCCTTATGGCTTGATTTATACTGGAAAAATTAGCTGTCCCCTAGAGCAATAAATACCTGAAAAATTAAATGCCATAACAATTTTAAACCTCCATGGGGAGTAAGGGATCACAGATACTCTCTGTTTTACTTGGATCCCTAGATTTCACTATTTCCCCCTTCTCTTTCTGACTATTCCAAACATAAATGTTAGAGATATAGTCACCACTGATGTAGTTAAAATAAGGTTGTGGATAAGAGCTCAAGCCATAAGTGAAAAAGTAGGCTGGGTAGATACAAATTAAAGGCATAGGCACTGTAGGCTCAGTCCTGAGACATGTGGTCACACCAGGTTTGGGTTTCTTGTTTTTGTTTTGTTTTGAAAGTGTCTGTTGCTGCTACGATTTGGAGGTTGGGAGGGATGGAAAACGAGCAGAATAGGACAGAACTTGATTCAGCCTGAAACTCCAGAGAGCCCTTAGGATTAGGAGTAAAACTCTAAGCATTAGCTTATATTGACGACGTATTTCCTCCAAGTCTTCAGGGACTGACAATCAAGTCAATATTATGGGAGGAAAGGCCTGTGTGCATGATGGAAGGTGACTCTGCAATGGGACTTGATTATTATGGTGGGCAATTAGGGGAAGCCGAGCTATTGATCCTGTTGGGAAGAGTGGAGCAGAAGCTGCAAGTCCAGTTCCTGCATGGTGAGAAGTGATAACTTTCTCATGAGAGGAACCACAAGAATGCCCCATACATAACATGGTGGGTCAAAAGTCCTGTATCCAGCCTGAAGAGCTGGACTTAATCCCTGCATTTATATGAGGGAACAGAACAGGATTGGAATCCTGACCCTGCTAAAACTGTATTATTTTTCTTTCAGTGAATATCTAAACAGTATTGCAGGTCTTTAGTCAAGCAAATCCTCCCCTGGCCATTCAAGAAAGGAAGCCTTGTGACATCTGAAGAAGCACATCAGCCTTATAAAACACAGAGTGTCTGAACATTTCAAAATGTATCTTGCCTTTCTCTGCTGGATTGCCCTTTTAACCTTCATTTTATTCTACCATAACCCTATGAGATAAGGTCTAGATTCACCCCAAAGTTTTAAGGACACAGAAAAAAAGTAGAATAGATACCTTCTGGTCTTGGCTTTGGTTTTTCCAACCCACCATCCTGCATTAGCTCAAATGCAAAGGATACATTAAGGACCTAGTAATATAATAAAGGTAGTCATTATTATGAACTATATACAATATAGTACACATTGTCAGAACAAGCTATGTTTAAAGCTACAGATCCAGATACTTGGAAGGAGAAAGTAAACAGGGCTCAATATATAAATGAAAGATCTGGTCCTTGGAATCTAGACAATCCAATTGTGGATTGTCGTCTTTTTTTTTTTTTTGGTGATGGTGGTTTCAGAAATATAAAATAAATTGAAAAATAACACATGAATTAGTATTTCCTATAGATAAATTATTTAAAAATAAGACTAGCCTACCTCCCCGAAGTTTAAAAATTGGAACATGATGGCTCATGTAGCGCTTTTGTTTTGGACAGGCAGCTGAATTGTCTGGATAGCAACAGAGGTTTGGATAATGGTTGATCTTAGAACGATATAGAGCGTATGTATGGCTTCATGCTTCCAAATATCATAAAACCTTCCAAAAGTCAAATTCTTGGATATTGGGCTCCAAAAAAATCTTTTTTTTTTGTCATCAATTCATGTGTATAATTCCTTATACACTTACCAAACAGTAAGTCTGGCTTGATGACAGCATCACACAATTGCTGCCAAAATTAGTTAATACTTTCTAGACACCCCACAATTTATATAATTTCCCCCTTTATTCTGGATAAGCATTAACACTGAGATCTTAAAAATGCTTGGAAATGATTACCAGTCCTCTCTTGATTTTAGCTATTTACACCTAACTCGCATGGAAAAGTTTGTGCTGTCCCTGTACTGCTGGACATGTTTGTTTCTTTATCTGTTTTCAACCAAAAAATGAAATCTAATTACCTTTTGTTCAAAACTATCAGGAGTCAAGAAGAAGCTGTGCAGAGGAACAAAATAGCCTTCAAGGAGACCCATTAGCAAGACTAAGTAAACACCATCTGCAAACTGTAAAAAAAAAAAAAAAAAAAAAAAAAAAAAGACATTTCTCACTACACTGTCTGAATGAACATCTCATTGCTTAGCTTAATGAACAAAATATATATTGTCTAATGCAGAACAGTCAAACTACCAATATAAATATTTCAAACTGCAACAAAAAGATCTCAGCTCACCCCACATACCTTTTATTTAGTCAGTACGTTGTGTTGTGCCCTCACCAAAACTGACCTCATGCTAAAATACACATGCAGAATAAAGTTCCCGGAAAGGCAGGTGGTCAGCGGGTTTGATCTATACCCTTGCTTTCATTTCTAGTCTGTTTGCTTAGTTGTGGGATATCAGAACAGTCACCTTTCCAGTCAAATAGCATGTACTCCCTGAGGTGAGAAAAGCAGAATAAAGGTGCAGTCTCACGACCGCACTGAAATTGAATATGTTGGAGGAAATAAGGGAACAAAGAACCATGTTCTCCCATGTTCTGCAAGCCTTTCAGCATATGCAACTACAAATGAGAGATAACTAATTGCTATGATGCATGCTCAGTTCAGTCTGAAAACCAGCACCATGCATGGGTATTTGTGAACAGCATTTCACTCTTATCTCTATGGCATCAAGTCTATCAGCGCATCAAGAAACCCTCACAGTCCACCAACTCTATTCATCCATTTCTTCAGGTTATCTGAAGCAAATCATCATCTCCTTGAAGTAGCTTATTTTCTTTCTACCAAAGGAGATACAATCAATCTCTTATCTTAGTGAATGCTGCTTTGGATGAATGCTTAAGGGGTTTTTAGGCACATTTGAATAATATGTTTTTTCCAAAAGTAAACACTGCAATAAGCAGGCACAGTGAACCTTTCTGAAAGCCCTTGCACGTTCCTTCCATCTAAATCTTAATTTTAACTTTGAAAAATCTCTTTATATTGGACTGACAGCTATTCAAATAAATCAAAAGTTCTTAATGACATGAAGCAAGACATAAAATAACACCTGTCTTGAAAACACCTGGCTTTTTTGATAGTGCAGATACCATCCTTCCTGTCCGATCTTGTAATTTTCTTATAACTGCTGCATTTGTTCACATGGGAATGTATTAATACAGCAGGGCATAAGTCATTTTTTTTAGCTTCCTTCCAGCCAATTTAGCAACTGAGAAAAAGATGACCATGTACCAAGCCATTTTCATGGTGCAATCAAGCCTGCAGCCCAGCTGTAGAGCTACCTATACACTTGAGTAGCCTTAGTCTCATGAATGCATCTCACTGAACAGAGTCATTGTAATCCCATGAGATTATTTGCTCGCGTAAAGGTAGGCAGGAAACAACTGCTCAACTTGAAGCTGGACCAAACCAAGGGTACAGAGTTCTTTCCTGACCAAAACTGACACAAGTTCTCCTTACAGCACTTAGCAGCACAAGGAAGTAGCATCTGTCAATTATGCTAATGGAAGTACAAAACTGTTTCAGAGAAATGCAGCTGTCCTTATGATTTCTCTGCTTAATAGGTGAGGTTTTCTTCTTATGAACTTATGTAGCACTGAAGGATTTCCAGTTGAAATAACAACTTAGAGCCTGATCACTCAATCAATCAATGAAATCATCATTCAATGATTCAATTCAATTTCATCATTCAATGAAATTTCTGGATAAAGGTGAAGGCATAGCATGTAACACAGTGCAACTATCCCTCCCCTTTAACAAAGGCTATAAAATCCTACCTGTGTCTCCAGTTCAGTGACCTCCAAATTCAATTTATTGAGATGCTTGTTCACAAATGTGATGAGAGTCTGAAACATGGAGAACAAGTTAGTCAAGGCCTACTTAGCAGGGTAGCAGTCCCATGGAGTATGAACTCCAGTCAGAAAAGAACCTGCACAAGCAAAGAGGCTGCAATACTATTTTTTAAGTTTTAAAACTCAAATGTGATGTTAAAAAAAAGAATTTTTTTCAAGAATAAAGAGCAGAAACATAATAAACATGATGCAAATAAATTAAAAACATATTGTCAAAAAACAATTCTTCTTCAAAAAAGCTTGTAGCAGACCATAGGGTACTGGGTAATTGGACTCCACTCAAATCTGACAGCAGCCAAAATACTCAAGGTCAGACCCCTGGCAGCTGTAAACTGGATACCTCTTTGGAATCAGTAAACTTAATCTACCAGTTGAGTTCTATTCAGCAAACATTATATGAGAACTTCTTTATGATGGAAACTTTGACAACTACATCTTGTTCTGTGTTCCAAAGTTAAGGTCATGCTGCTAAACGTAATAAAAAGTAACATTATAATCATGGATTAGGTATTTTCACTTTCAACCTAAAGCTTCATTGTATTTAACGTATGCAAACTATATCACATTATATATTCTACATACACTACATATATGTACACACATAAAGCATGTACATGTGCATGGGCATGCACACATTATGTTTTAGAAATAAAAACCTTCTAACCTTTTTCACAACATTGAGCTTGTCTGGAGCGTGGTCAAATAAAGTGTCAAATGCATCTCGTTCTGAAAAACATTCAGAGATGTTAATATACTGAGCAGCAGTTGTCCAACTGCATAATAAACACTTATTAAAGAGCACAATTGTTGAAGACAGAGTCAGTAAAAGGTTTCAATATACTCATTGTATTCCAAGTACTATATATTTTGCATATTTCTCCCTTGCTATAAGCTGCTATTAACTTCTTCTCTATTATTTGCAAAAAGCATCATTTTCCAGGAGGCTCTGAATTACCTAATAACTCTGTTTCTCAAAGATTAACAAAGACGAGTATCATCTTAAAACATAAAATACATAAAACCTTAAACAGCCAGATACAGGGAGCTAAGTAACCAGATAATTGGCTGCAGAAGAGCATGACTTTACATCTAAAGTCACTACATCTAGAGAGGAGAATTTTCCCTGTGGGCCCTGTGGGCCTCCTCCAGCAAGTGTCTTCTGTTGGCCAGGCATTTAGCCAGGCTCAGCACTAGCCAATAAGTAGTAGTAGGCATGGGAACTTGCACTGAATTTAGACCTGCTGAATAATGACCCAGACTCAATATGGTGTAAGCAAGTAATGGATGCAAGAACAGCAACAAGTTCATCAGCTGGTTTATCATAAGACATCATCTTGTATTATGTTGGGAACTTGTGACTATTAATACTATTACAGTAATGTTCTGGATGTTAAACCACGAAGCACCTGCAAATTAATATGTGCTGAAAAGCACTGAAACATGTTTTAGAGATGGCAAGACTGACTTTGATGCTTTTCTTCTTTTTTAACCACCACAAGAGTCTGCAGTACACACACACACACACATATATATATATTTACACAAGTACACACACACATAAAAAACATATATATATTTATGTATATGCCAGGGTAAACAGAAGTCATTGGCTTCCTTGCAGTTTGAACAAAGTGCCCACCCATAACAGAATTAATGTAAACTTTGGCTGCCTGAAGAAAAAGATAATAATCTAATGAACTTACCATGCCTTCCTGATAATGCCCTACAAAAAAAAAACAAAGCAAAACATAGTTATATATAATTCACTTACATACATTGTTCTGCTAAAGAAAACAGCATATGTGGCCAGATCTTTGACTTGGTGAAAAGTGTACTACATTCATGGAATTAAGAGAATATTCATCAAGTTGCTCTGAGAGTGCATTGGTCTGGAGTCGGTCAGCATAATATCTCTTGGTGTCACTACAGTTTCATGATGAGATCAAATCTCAGATTTCCTACTGCTGAAAACAAATCAACACACCTTGCCTGTGTGAAGAAGGTGTTTTCATGTTTATTTTATGAAAACTTTTTCCTTAAAGATGCAGTTACCATATCAACTGCAACACAATTCCAGCCAAAACAATGCTTGGACTAGGTTCTGAAGAACTGCAGTGTTTTGCTCTGATTGATACCTCATATAAATACTACATATAAATACATCCATAAAGATTAATAATAAGTCAATCATCTGAACTCTCTCCATTCTGTTAAAAACTAGAATATTCCACCATTGCTTTCTGTTGGCTTTGAAAAATTTTTCCTTTATAAATTGTCCAGTACAGGGTTTATAAATTGTCCAGTAGGTACAGGGCTTACTACCATCATTTTACATCTCCAAAGTCCAAATGGCTAACAAAATATTAATCGTATCATATTCCTTTCTGAAGTAATCTACTACTTCTTTATCAAATAAAGATCACCATACAGGAATAAGACACATCTTTCTGGTTTGTTTGAAGGACTTTTGAATACAATATTGTGCTTATGTTATTTGAAATGTTGCAAAAACAATTTTTTTAAATATAGAAATTTTGTACGTCTTCACTGTCTTCTCTTTTATCCCAGTCTCCTGCTTTTAGTTCCCCAGCTCTGCATTTCCCCACCCTTTTTTATTTTTAGAAGCATGTTTGTAGCTCTTGCAAAGGCTAAAATATAATCACTGGCTGATGCATCATCTTCCCTGGAACCCCAATACTGAAATCTAAATATCAGCAAATGGTTGAATTTCTGAGACACATCTGTGTTCAATTACTGAACTGCTGGCAAGAGTGGTGTTGACATACTCAGTGTTACCAGTTATTTCCTCTTGGATTTGTCGAGACTGGAGGATTCCTTCTCGTTTCTGGAAAAAATAAAAAAGTGACATTTTCTCAGTAAAGTTTAATGCTTTGAGTACTGTAAAATTTATTTGTGATCTACGCATGTAATCAGATAAAAAAACCCTGCAAAATAAGAACTTTTTTCAAACGTACTGTAATATATTACTTCACCTTGCGAGCATTTTAAAAAACTCTATTGTACAATAACAGGAACCTTGAAACTACACCTGTACAAGGAAGTATTTCTTTCCATTGTTCTTAACTGACTTTTCTTTCAAAGGCCCCCGTTCAGCAAGATATTTGGAACACCTAAGCACACATGTAAGTATTTTAGCAGAGGTATGTCTTGGTGAGTCGAACAAAGCCTTGTATTTCAATGAACAGCTTGGCAGATGGTGCCAAGGCTTCACCTTTGGCAAATTCTTCCCCCCCAGCTAGCTGTTCTTTCTTCCCTGTTCACGCACTTTCTTTTTCGCTTCAGCAATTTCATTTTTTGACTTCTCTCCACACAAATGGCTAAATTGGTTGTGAAGGAAAACCAAAATGGAAGATAATCCATTCACAGCCAGATCCAGACCCCATCCATGTTGCTGTTAATACATCCATTGACATCATTGCCCTGTTGATGCACGATACCTCTTAGTATGTGCAGGTTAGTGGCCTGTGCCTAGAAGCAGTACACAAAATGGCAAGAGCCAACTCAAATGGTTGCCATTTGAGTCAGCTGGAAAATGAAGGACTTGAAGAATTTGACGTTGCATCCAGCATGCCGATCGCAGTCATCTGCTGGTGGTGTACATACTGCACATATGTTTTGCCTCTCTCTGTGTTCTCTCCATTAATTCTGTTCACTGGAATTAGTGAAATTTTGCAATATAGGAAAAAAAGTCAGGTAAATGCTGATGACTGCATGTAAAGTTTAGACATTAGGCAATTATTCAAGATTCTTCACTCTTGTCATATAAGAAAATGAGAAAAATAAATTAATGCTGATCCTAGACTTGCCTTCTACATGGAAAAGAGAAAAAGAAAATAACCTTTTGGAAAAGTCCTTCATGAAAACAAGGTTTTTTTTTTTAAAAAGGGAGGTAAGAGACTAGATGGCTCCTTCCCCAGCAATGAAGAAACTGAATTGGGGTTGCTGTATTCTCCCGCTTTGGAAACGATAACACCACCCACCCTCGGCAGAGGCAGTGCTGGGTTTAGAGGTGCATGCTGTGCTGACAATTTGGCCTGGCTAAGTCTATTACTTCTACGCTACACCAATAAAAGATATGAGGATCAAACTTAACTTTCCATAGGAAAGCCATATGGCACTGTTTCAGCAGTGGCTGCTGACACCTTTTCCCTCACATACCTTGAAAGTTTAATGAAAAACTGCATCACTTAGGGCTATCTTCCTCTCCACCTTGTGCAGGTAGCAATAAGCATTTGCTCTCAGAGTTACAATCTAGTTCATGCTAGCTCAAGTTAGAATTACACTGGTTTTTTCCCCCCCTTTGCTCCAGAGTGAAAGGGAACTTTTATTGCCTCCTGATGATGACTCTGACACACTAATAATGCATTCTGGAGAAAAAGCCCTGTCCCTCTACTTTTCTAGAGGGGATTAGCACCATAGCAGCGGCAACTATTCTTCTCAGTGCGCCATATTCTGCTGATATGAGAGAAGAAAAAGACTTCTAATACTCTGCCTTCCCTCTGCAAACAAGCCTAAACATGGCCTAAACATGCCAACATGGCCTAAAATATGCTCTAGTACTGTTAAAGAGCAAATATTTTACTTCTTGATAATCTGATATTAACATCAATGGGAATTCTGCATGTCAATCCTCTTGTCATTGACAGAAAAATGCAAGAAGACGTGTAGTCCTAGTTTTATGCTTGGCATCTGATCACCATTAAAGGAATTACCACATTGCCCAAATAGCAAATTCATCCATCGAACACTTTGACCAGCATGTATCAAGAGTGACTTTCCCATGCTTTTGATGCTTTTGAAAAAGTCCCAACGACAACAACCAGAGAATGGACGTCAGAAACACTAAGCTAAGCACCTTCTCCATGCAAGCTGCTTCCTATATATCCTTCGCACTTTAAAAACTGTCTGTCTCAAAACTGACCCCAACACTGATGTCACTTGTTGTGAAGCCTTTTTTAAATTAGACAGAGAATGACACAATATTCCCCAAATCCAAAGAAAGCACTACTACTTTGAAAGTGCTACTAGTGAAAGAGCATCCAGAGGTGTTCCTTAAAGATAATAAGTGGCTATAAGTGAAATAACAAATGACAAAAATAAGCACCTAGTATCTTAAGGTCACTGAGAAAAGAGGTATGAAACAGAAGATGTTCCTTTAAAAAGAAAGCCTCGACACTCATTCCAGTGTCCACAGAATGCATTTTCATAGGCTTGCCACTTTCCCCCCTCCAGCTGAAAGATTCCACTAAAGGCAATGCAAGGTCTACCCAATCACTTCTCATTTTCATTTGGTGACTGCCCCTAGAACAAAATCACGTACTTGAAAGTTGGGTAATACATCTAGAAACGGAAAGCACACTGGCAGCTTTCTACAAGGGGCCAACTGCTAAAGTTTCCACAAAGACCCACTCGTTAAAAAAAAACCCTTCCACTTATTGAATGGGTATGTATTATTGCAATCCATTTAGTCTAGTGGACCATGTTTTACAATTGCCCACCAAGATGAAAAACAGAAGCAGTCTGGAACTTGAAAGAACAAATATATTTGTCACAGACTCAAAAAAGATTTCCTGGGAACCTGAGGTAACACTATTCAAAACTATTGCAGACCTTCCCAGAGCTTTCAGATAGACAGTGTGCCAATGCTCTCAGATAAAGCTTGGGAGGTTCACCTTTTTTTCTGCTGCCATTAATTTCCTAGCTTTCCTTTACAGTAGTTTGTGCACCCAAGAAATGCTGTTCCAGTGCTCAAAACATGCTAAAGCCATCCTAGCTGCTCTGCTAATGCACAGGAATTATTATGCATTCTCACTCACAGCTCTAGCACACAAGAAAATTGTCATGTAACCATTTGTGTCGGGTACAGAATAATAATAATAATAAAAAAAAAGAGGTAAAATGATGGCAAAGATCCAACTCTCCGCAAAAGCTCTCATTGGTTTCAGTAGAAATGATCAAACAGAGCCTGGGCTTTGCTCAAAGTTATTTGTTCTGTCAGTATGGAAGAAAAGCAAAGTAATATAACAAAATAACCACAAGAACTCCAAGTCTCACAATTTTTCCCAAATCAACTTATAACCCAGGCTTCATATGACTCTCATGGTTAACAGCTTCTGTACAAAACAGCCAAAGGAAACATAAGCTTTCATAAGAACTGTGTTGATTACCTGTTGGGCCCGAGCATGTTATTTCAGAAATGTTTGAGAAATATCATTGTTTCTGTTTCAATAAACTATACCCAGCCATCATGGCAACCCTTACATTTTGCGCGTTTCTAAACCCAACAGAATTACGAAATGCATTAAGGTAGTCTTTCTGTACTTCACTCTGATTTCTCTCCCTCTACCATTCCCTCTATCTTTATCAAACTGTATACAGCAGAATTTAAAATCAGATACTACATAGTCTATTGAGCTTCCTTAGGCATGACCTTATTTTACAGACTGTATCATGGAGGGTTTGCAACATCAGCCTTGCAAGCTTGAACACTAAATGAGGCTTTTGGTTCTGCTGATTGCTGATTAAAACTTTCATTGAGTTCAAAGAGTACATGATGAATAATATCGAACTAGTCCCACAGGATATGAAAGTCAGATTTAAAAAAAAAATAAAAAAAACTCTGTAAAATAAAAATGAAGAATGTCTCAAACACAATTACAGTAAGAATACTGGCCCCCACCCTCAGTTAATGGGATTCAGCATAGCCTTGGCGTTCCAATGATTGGTTTTCATCAAGGATCTGGGTCTGCAGGGCAAAATCTTCTGCAACATTACTCAGATTTTATTCTGGTGCATTTGCTTTCTCTGCAATATACTGGCGCCCGAGCTACAGCTGTGTAGCTAAGAGGCAAAGCAGTGAGCCAGATTCTCCCACTACTTACTGTTTTTAAATTGGTTTATCTTTACTGACTTCAGTGGATTTGCTGTTGAACTACATTAGCCTATTAAACAAGAAGAGAATTACGTCTATTGATTTAAATGGGAATTTTGTCTGGACATAGGGAGAGACAGTACAATGCAAGATTTTTTTTTTTTTTTAAATGTACACATTCTTCTTCTTTTTGCTTAGCTTCTTTTCCAAAAGATGCACTGAATGCTGTACTCTTGACTTCTTAGGCTGATTTTGGTAGAACTTTGAGATAAACCAGTGTGATTAATATATTTACAATATCCAAAAGAAACTGCTTGGAAACTATTTTCCTCTGAAGCCTTAGACAAATTAAGCGCAGATTTGTTGGGATTCTTTCATCCTATGTGGACAAGCCCACCAAGTGGAATTTGAGAGTCAATGAACTGAGTATCAGGCTTCAGCAATACCTCTAGGAGACAGAGATTCTCCTTCAAATTTCTCCCACAGCAAATTACCTAATTCCAAAACTTGTCTGATGTGAACACTGGAAAGCAGCGGTTGGTTTCAATCATGTACAACCTGGGTAATAGCTCTTAGCACCAGACGCTTCAGGGCAACTTCAGTTAAAAGGCAAAAATAGACAAGAAAATAAGAGAGAGTTGCAGTGTGAAAAACAAAGGCAGAGTTAGTTACAGTGTGAAAAATGAATGCAGACTTCGTTGGAGAGAAAGAAAAGCAAATTAAATGGGAAGAGGCCAAACAAGATAAAGCAAACACAAATCCAACTGAAAGAAAAATGACAAAAAGAATAACATGAAGAGTTTGGATGGATAAGACTCTAATAAGGAGACTGATTGGCACAAAAAATGTAGTCGATGGGTTTTTTGCATGCTTATGAGAAAGTCAACACTGTAATCAGACTAAATTAGCATGCATAAGGCTGAAAAAGAACATTTAGTCACCTAACATGAATCTGAATGTAATAAACAGTGACAATTCATCACTCAGTGCCAAGGCTGATTTGAATCTCCACACAAGTGAGAAGACCGTCAAAAATAGGAAAAATAATAATTCTAGAGATCATACTGGGTGATAAATAAACAAATACATTCCAACAATAACAATGCTTCATAGATTTTTAATGTCAGAGTCTGGCCACTTCTCTATCAACCTAAGATATTCTGAACCACAGCTCAAACTGGGAAAGCGCTTCTGCCTTTTTCTAGTTGAAGCACCGTCAGGAAACAAGACACACGTGTCTTTCTTGTCAGCCAAAAAGATACACATGCATGCACGAGCAAACACAAAGTCTGCCAGAAGCTGCTTAACACCTCTCTTACCTGCACAACAACAACCTGAATGGACACATGATCTGGGAGTCTGATTGGAGCTCGAAAATACTGTGATAACGCAACCAGAAGATGAAGTATTGCTACGAGACTTTTCGCATGAACAGCTGAAATAGATATTAAAAGCACAAGTTACAAATTGCAAAATAACTAGGGCAAATATTTTTGCTTTTCAGGATGCAGTGGGTTATAGGACTCTCATCCTCTTGCTGCCTGGAGCTAGGGGGCATTTTTAAGACACCTTTCCTTTATGTGTCTCCTCCTGCTCCGCAGGTCATGTGAATGCAACTCAGTGAGTAATATGTGTCAGTACCACAGCGTTAGCATTTGCAATATGTCTGGATGCCTTAGGTTTGTGTAGATGGAAATCTAAATCTAATCCAAAAGCCAGATTTCACGTACGGCAGCCTAAAGTGCTGTCTATGCAGTCTCCTTGCTGTTCCTTTATTCCCTTTATTTCAATAAGGATTTATGGACTATCAGAAAGATATTTTCGTATTCATAACATGCACTTATTCATTTTTAAGTGTCACAATGTCTGCAGGCTGATAAATGAGCCTATTTTGGCAGAAGCCTTAAGCAATAACTTACTAAACTCAATGACTCAAACATTCCTCATGAAGTTGTTATAGTTCTTGTTATTGAAGCTTTTTCACAGCAGGTTTCATACGGGTAGTTAACACTAACATGACTTACAAGATATCAAAAGCCATTCTGTGGGAAATCTTTAATCAAGTATCAAAGCGTTGGCACAAAGTGAATTAGAGGGGCAGGATCACCTCCCTCGACCTGCTGGCATTACAAGATATCAAAATTTAATCTGTGGGCAATCTTTAATCAAGTATCAAAGCGTTGGCACAAAGTGAATCTTATTTCTGATTTTTAGTACTTCCTTTCTTCTTCTTCTTCATTTTTCTCATTTACAGACTTTCCAAAAGTATTTTTCTGAAAAAAATGTTTGATAGCTACGGCACAGTGCACTCAAATGCTTTTTGTATATAAAGTAAACAATAACTACTACCTTACTTCACTGGTAGTAAAGCAGCAACAGATTCACTAAAACATCGTTTTTCTTCATTTTCCAGTCCAAGTCTCAAGTATGCAGTGGAGATTTCTCCACTTGCCCATACTCATAAAATGTGGCATTGCTGGCAAATTTTTGGGGGGAAGCAGGGGTCAGGGACGAGGTGCTTTAGCAGAACACTACAGAGATGTCTGTCTGCCTAGCATCAATGTGTGCTACAGCTGGCTCCAGCTGCTGCTGTCTATCTGTACTTTAGCTCTCAAATGCATGTAAAACATTAAATTAAAACTAGAAGTGAAATTGTTAGGCTGCTCCAAACACCCCACATCCAGCTGCATAACAGAGAATGGGGGAACAGAGAATAGAAAAAAAATGGGGGAGATTGGAGAGAGAAGGGGACAGGAAACTCAATGGGACCACATGAAGGGGAAAGTCAGCCATGCCTAAAGTTCACTCTTCCTCTCCGGAGCTATTTCTCTCCCTCTCACAGATTTGTTGTGAATGGAACATCTGATAAAAAAACAGCCCAGGTCAAGACAGGTATAGGAGACAGGGAATAACTTATATTCTGGCCAAACTACTCACCGGTGTCAAATGATTCTGAAGCAGATTGAAGAGGCTAATTTTAACTCCTGCTGTGCTACTGACGGCTTTTCTATGTATATATTGCTATGTTCACTGTTAATACAGTAAAACAGGAAGGGTGAAGTCCTGACCTTGATGAGAATTTTGTAATCAAAATTAGTGGTTGAGATTTCATCCTAAACAACCAGAAACATCATTCATATGTATGCTGCATGTCTTATACAAAAGAGGAGTCTCCAGACCTTTTCTTCAGCCCAACTACTACAGTTACGTGGGTTTTGCTCCTTTCAGTAAACCAATTGAGTAACAGAAAACTTAATCTGGTATGCACACAGACTTAAGAACGGAAATACTGTATTTTGATAGTCCCTGAAAAGGTAGTAGTTTATTCAAACTGGAGGTCGAGCAGCTGCAGAGAAAGTAGACTGTGTTGCAACCCTTCTCCCGTTCCTTTTACCTCCCTCTATTGTTGAGCAGCTCCTACCATAAATACCAGGTTTCAGTCTCCCATCAGATATTTAAGAACTCCAGATAGTACCTATAAGCTCCTGGCTGTAACAAACGAGAGCAGTGTAGAAAACACGCAACTTACAGTCAACGTTCCACTTGATGCTTCTTGGTGGGAGTTTAAGGGTTTCATTGATCTTTTCAAGAACTGTCTGTAACTTCTGTTTTTGAGCAATTTCAGACTGAGTAACTTCAGCAACATTCAGCTTCTCACTTTCAAGTTTCTCTGAAGTGATAATAGAAGAAAAAAAAAAAGCCAGTTGACTTCATGGGAAACATGACATTCCACGCACCCAGACATACGTTCAGGAGAAACTAGACATTCAAGTGCTAAAATTACCTGGTCTCTCAGCCTTTCCTTCCAGAGCCACTTTCCCCTGCGCTTCTGAACTCCTAAAGATACAGTCCATGTTTTCCCTTTATTTCCCCATTGCCAGGGGAAAGGCCAAATATTAATGAAAGCTACACTACTGGCTAGTAAAGATCTATTGCAACTTCCTTTAGGGAACATCAGACTAGAAGGTAAAGCTCATTACTTCTACTACTGCTGGATAAAGGGTATTCTGCATGTTAGTGGCCTGTACAGCAGACTATCAAGCCTAAAAGAGACTTTTAAGATTTGTTTCACCAGTTCCACCCTCACTGCTTCTCCCTCAGTTTCCAGAGATTTGCAGATTTTACTTGGCCCACTTGTGGTCAAAGTGAAGGGATACCATATTTATATAGGTGAAAGATGCAGCCAATAAATGCAAAAAAATAATATTTTTTTGAAGGTCTGAAAGCAACTAAAACTCTAGACAATTTTTTTCTACAAAGCAATAGCCTTTGTCAGCACTCAAAATTTGCAATGGATTTTAAAACATTTTATGCTCTGGTTTATTAATAATGGATACAGATTGCTGAGCTTATATAAATACGGCTTAGCTTGTTTTAACCAGATTTAAGCAAAATCATCAATAGTCTGGTGTGAACTGGGTCTACACAGTAAACCGTAAAGCTTTAGGCATATCAATCAAAAAGAAATGACTTTGTTAAACTATTGACAGTGTCCACATGAACAAGGGTTCAATTAACTGAAGATAGATTAAGATGTGCAAAATGAAAATGGGCAACTCCTTTGAACATGAAAAAAAAGTAAAAGTAAGTGATGTTCGTCTTAACTCAGGAGTACCAGCACTCTGCTCCATGGATTTAATAGAGATGACAGTAAAAAGACAAACAAGCTCCATTATTATTATCAAGAAAGCCAATGGTTGCTAATGTTTTTGTAAAACTGTCAGGAACCTCACAACCATTAGCTAGTAAGCAAAGAAAATTTAGTGGTAAAGCCTCCCTGATAATAACATCAGAAATAAAACACTTTATCTCCTATGAATTCACTTCTATAAAAAAACTTATATTATTAAGCTTTGTAAGAGTTAATCTTGTTCTCAAAGTCAATTGAATATCTTCCCAAACATAGTGAGGCTGAGCTACTGGCAAATGAATGCTGCCTGAGAGGCTGCTGTCTCTGAGGGCTTCTTGTACCTGCCCAGAGATCCGTCTGTACATGGTGTCACAACAGGATGGAAGCCTGTAGTTAGCATAGACCTGATCCACAGGGGATTAAGGGTAATGGAAAAGATTCCACTGAAATCTGTTACTATTGGATCAGTATACGCAAGAGTCAAGCTGTATCTGATGTGCATTTTTTTGGTTTTGTGTGAAGTCACTGGAGGTCTGCCCATGAGAATCAAATTGCCCAGTCTGGGCCATATCCATTCCATCACAACATATTCAATAGCTTAGCCATTCATAGAGGGAAACAGTCTATATACCCTTTATTGGAAGTGCTCACATGATGTTTCAAGATTCATTTAAGACACTGAAAAGAAATTTACTGGAGACTTTATGAGCTGTAATAACTAAGAAAGTGGCTTCCAAGCCAACAGTTAAAAATCACATGCCAGCTCTGCATTAGCAGTCTCTTTTCTCTATCTGTTTCTCAGCTGAAGCTCAGTTTGCAGTCCGCTGGGTATCATTACCTCAGTAATGTTAAGGGCCAGACATCAAATCAGAAAGAAATTCCAGCTTTCCAGAGGAACTTTGAAATGTGAATAAACTATAGAGTGGAACCAGCACAGATTAAAAACATCCACCATTGTACTTAAAATACCCTTACTTTCAAACTTACTTTCCACTTGTAACATAGTTACAGTTGTACAGCACATATGCAGATAATAAATTTAATTGGAGTAAATACTGCTGCCAAGTCAAGAACTTTCCCTCTCTAGCACCCCAGGTAGGCTTTATGCTGTTCTCACCAACTACAGAGCACCACACATTACACTGTAGCTATGAGGACTGTGCTTCCTCTATGCTACAGCATACAGCCTATTGCTCAAGAGTCTCATAATACAATGCTATTTTTATATCACTTAGTGGCATAAATGTAAGATGAAACTAAGACTCCTACGTAGGAACAAGTGATCCACTTACTGACAAAGGGCCCCAACAGCATGCATATATATTTTTTCTTACCAAATAATTTCTGCAATACTTGTCCATCATACAAGTCTTCAGCCAAGTCTTTCACAATAATCCTCTCTCCTACCAACACATCATTAATCCAGTCAATTAATACCTATATGGGAAATACAAATTTGGCAGGATTATACACTATTCATTTGCAATTTAAAACACATGTCATTTTGTACAATGATGAAAATACTCAGCAGAAAGAATACCAAAGCTGCAGTGGTTCAAAATACAATCAGTCTGAAATGCCATCAGACGAAAATAGGAAGGAGTTAGTTTTACAAGGAGATAAGAAATACGTGCTGATTATACCAACAGTTTCCTCCCTCTGATGCACTCAGACATCACTTTGACTCTTCTAAGGTTGCTGTAACACAAAGCGTAGACGAATACAGGATTGTTGAAGTGCTTTCTTAAGTGAAATCTGTCCTTTGATTCCAGTAGTATATTAATATTTTACTGGGAGGCAAAATGTGCTGAAGCCATTTCTAATGAAGCTTCTTGTAAAAGTCCCAACACCAAGAATCAAAAAGAGTAAGAAGGAAGCCAGTGTGATTTTAGACTGGGGACAGGATGGGACTAAGAATCAGGATTCAGTATTTTAGTCCCAAATTATTAGTCTCTTTGTGCTTTATCTAAAGATACTGCAAAAAGTAGCGTGCCCATTTCACTGGGTTATATGCACCACGTGGTTTCATTTAATTAATATCTAAGTGCTTGGAAGGGTTCAAATGAGAGAGGCAAGGATGGTATTAAAAATAGCTTCACTTTCTTGGAAGTATTTACATGCTTTTCATTACCTTCATTAGTTCTTGTAATTTTGGGTCATTTCTGGAATTTGGATCAACCATTGTTCGGACTTCATTTTCCTCTGGAAGGTTTAAAAGAAAGATATTAGAAACTATTACAGGCATGAGGCTTTATTTTACACCAAGCTTTTACGTTGAGATGTAAAATTGTTATGAATTACCTAGCATCGTGTCCTCAGGGTCTAGTTCGAATGGAATTGGACTGAGAGGTAAGTTAATGGCATTTATCCCTTCTTCCTGTAATTCAGATACTAGGAAATAAAGAAGAAGAGCTTGGTCAAATTTCAATTCAATTTTACTTCCTATTTCACTCTTGCTAAAAATAGCATTAATTGTATTAATTTCTTTATAAGAACATGACTATTAGATAAGCTACTGAGTGTAATTACAGCAATAAAATACAGCTAACAAAAATGGCCCAGTCAAACAAATCGTTACTCGTACAAGTAGCTTTTGCATGGGTAATGGTACTGAAATCAATGCAATTTCCTCCAAGTCTTTTCAGGATAAGGCCCGTTATTCCGCAAATTTTAAAACGCTCACTCACATTTTAATGGTCTTGACATTTAACAAATGAATCACTTTAGCTGAAGGAAGCAATTACTCCTCTCTCAGAGCATGTCACCCATGCTCTGAAGGTGCTTCAAGTTTGGCTGCTTAAGACGACCTGGGTCTAGATATACATCCGCATAGGAGCTGCCGGACTGACAATTTAGGATTGAAGGTGCAGCTGCTGTGCTCCAGGACGCTGCTCCCTCCGTTATTCAGGTCAGAAAACAGCTGGAGCAGACTGTGGGTTGCTTCTGGTGGGTGTCCTTCAGTTTTCTTTGGCAGAAACCACGGCAGCAGGACACAGGGGGAAGATAACTGATCCTCAAAAGTAGTGTCTCTGCATGGAGTCCAGACACTGGCCGTGAACGAACCCGGACACAGGAGTAGTAATCCAAAAATCCCACCCTTTGGACATGCCATGGTTGTCAGGAAATACAGCTGAGTAAGAGCGCACCCAAGTTCTGTACTGTACAGGTTCTCTGCCTGCTACGGTTTAGAGCAACTTCATTCATGCCAGGAGGTGAACCCAACTGTAACAGGTTCAAAGACAAAACAACACCTGCACTGCCTAAACACACCTCTACAACAGAAAAGAATAGATACAAACAAGCCAATACGCTAACCCTACCGTTAGGAAAACTGCTCAGCACTGCGCAGGGAGGGTACCTGCTTCAGTGACCAGCCAGATTTGAAGCTGCTTTGTAACCACGGAGTCAGCATAAATCTGATTTACAGAACCAGGAAAGAGGATCACCGTCTTTTGAATGACAAACAAACAATGTTGTTTTGACTGCTCATTTTCCAGGGTACAGACTTTCAAAAGACATGGTCGTTAGCACATCTGTTATTTAAACTTAAATAACTTAATGAACCAAAATACATGGTTTACAGGTATATGCAGATTCACCATCTAACATTTGAGAATGACTCTCTGAAACTGACCAACCTTCTGTAGTTTACTTTGAAAATGACTCAAAAAAGAAAAAAGGTTTGGAGAAAACAGAAAAGTAGAAAGTGGCAGCAGAGAGCCTACGTTTTGCTCCTGGCTCTCTGAATGCCTTGTAACTTAGCTTTTGGAAAACTGTTTTACATTTCTGTCTTAACTTCTTGTGTGCAATAAATAAATATAGCTCAACTCACATGGGCACTGTGACAATTAGCTGGTGCGATAACAGTACTTAAAACTTTCCAGATATTTTCTATGCTTTGTGAAATGTTTTGTACTCTGCCAGATGAAATGTCTATGCACATTTTAAGAGTCTGTGTAGCAGTACTCATGAATCTATGTAAGATTCATAGCAGTTAGAATGCTTATTGCTTTTAATAGTGCAAAAACAACTAAAAAATCCACTACCTTCTGCACTAACTAACTTCACTCCATACACTCACCCTGCTTATGTATCTGTAAAATACAAATACTGGGCAGCTCTAAAGGACAATAAAGAAGTAACGTTGACAATAATAGTTCCCTGGATTGTTGTATATCCTCTAAGACTGAAGGCCGAAAGCAATGGACCAAATTAATCCCTCATGTAAATCCATCAAGTTCTGAGGAGTTATAGCAAGAATGAATCTGGTTTAGCATGTACAATCTTAGGAACTGTTTACGCTTAATAGCAATTTTTTGAACTGCTAGCACTCCCTGGAGAAAATCACTGTTGGTTTTATTATCCTCTTTGATTTTTTTCTGTTTTGGTTCAAAACTGTTATGGGCATAAAAAAAATCCGTGGACAGAAAATTTCCATGTAGAGCTCCTTCTGTTCTGCAACGTTTAGTTCATGAAGAACCACACAAAGGGTCCTAGGCAAAACACTTTTTTCACATCAGTCCCAGGAGGGAGTACAGTAAATAAAATCTGTTCAAGCTAGCTGGCTCCACTGAAGTCTCCTATCCCAAAGGACTGGATGCTCCGTTTGAGCAGTACACACTGGAGGAAGCAGTCAGCTCGTTTGCCTAGTGAAGGACAGCGATGGAAAGCTTTTGGTTCCTCTCTCCAGGAGGACACCCACTGGCAGAGCTTGCTGAGACTTCTCCAAAGAGACTGAACAGGCTTTGTAAGGCTGAATGCTTTATAAGGCGTTCTTTACAAGGCAGTTGCCCACTGAAATCCCCCATTTTTGTCCTCCAACATGTATGATGCATGACTACTTCACCCCACTTTTAACAACATGACTGTCACCATATTATCACAGTTTCTGGAAATGAGAGAAAACAAACAAGGAATAAATGATCAAAAAAAACCATGTACCCTAATCTCTGAATTTTAATAACATGATCAAATAAAAGATTCATTTTTTTTTCATGAAAAGGGAACATTAAATACAAATAAAGTCTGTTTTGGAATGCATGGTGGGTGCTGTATACGCACTACAGTATGGGCTAAGCCCTGCTTTAAGGTAGGCAAGTGGTGCTCTTGTCCCTGAGCAGCCAGCCCTAGCAGAATACATTTCTCACACCCACTTGAGCCATACGCAGAGCCTACTCAATCCACAACACACCTCCAGATGACTGAAGATCCCAGATGGAACTTATTTGCCAGACAGAAAGGACAGCAATACTCCCTGCTCTCCTTCCTCAACACTGCCTTCTGCAGTGCATAATACATATTCCAGGTTGACGTTAGCCCTGCCATAGACTCCTTCTGCCCTCCTGTTCGCAGCATGATGGAGAAACCCTAAGCCTTGATAGCATCTTTTTCATTTCTTTCTCAATATGGAAGAGGAAAGATTTTGCCACAGATTAATAATGCTATTAAAAGCATCAGGTAAGAATATATGTATTATATCAAGTTGTATGCAATGAGAAAGAAAATGCATTATGTAATATAGCCAGAGCTTTCTAAGAACTTCCATCAAAAAATTTCCATGACAAACCACTAGACTTAGGTGTTTATAGAGGAACCACAAATATGTGACTGAGGTTATGAGTTTGCATACCACAGTTTCAGCAGAGGAATCCATTTTTCAGCTGGTTTTCATTAATTTGTTTTAATTAATTTTCAGGAAAATCACATAAGCAATTCTAGTATTTTAATAAAAACAAAGCACATAGGTTTTGGGAGAATTTTAGCAGCAGCTGAAATTAAAAGAACATTATCCCATTTCTTGAAATACTTTGAAGAATGATTTAAAACATCAGCAAGACCTCTTCTCTCTGTCTTACAGTATAAAAATCCAGGAAGGGAAGAGGGGATATATGCCAGCAGCAGCTAACATATAGGAGCAAGACTTGCCCCAGAAGCCTGGGGCAGTGGAGCCAAAGGAGCACGTCCCCAGGGCTGCCTGCTCTGTGGGAGGACTGCAGTGGCAGAGGAGAGTACTTTTTTCCTCTCACCTCCTCTGCTGCTGCTGCTGCAACCAAGATGCAGCCAGTATGTGGACTACCACGGGGCTAGTTCTCCTTTGTGCTTAATCTAGCATAATTAGGGGCTTTATACTTTTGGACCTGAGAGAAAAATCCAGCCCTACAGGTTTTCACAGTCACTGGGCTGAGTGCAACTGAGGGTTGAATGTACTTTTAAGGCAAGATCCTTAAAAGCAACGGAGTTGCATACAGCACAGACAAATCTCTGTGCACTGGCAATGTGGAAGTCCCAGTTTTAACTCTGGATAAGGAACGGATACTTTTCTCCTCAGACTTCTGATTAATCTCCACATGCCAAATTTATTATGATGTAATCAAGTGCAACTCCACTGATATCAGCTGTCAACAGACTTCCTCATATCATGCCAGCACCAAATTTGGCCCCAGAGCTAGGGAGTCCACAAGCTTTTATCAACAGCAACCATAGCAGCTATTTTAAGCTGGACAGAGTTTTTACTCTGTCAGATGATCTAGGATTACAAGGTCATAAACCTACACTATCAAATCCACGCGGGTGCTATGAGCCAAACTTTGCCCTTTGATGCATGCATCCAACTGCCATCGAAACCGTTGGAAGCTGAGCACATCTGAAAGGGGAGTACTGCCCATGCAGTTTAAATGGGCTTAATTCCTCCAGTACATGCAGCCTGTTGCTCCACATTGTATTTATTAGACAGTTTCATTTGGGTTTTTTACTTGTTTGTTTTGTGTGCTGCAGGCTTTTTCCTGCCCTGTTTAATATTCAGGGCTTAATAACATTCTGATTTGAGTAAAAACATATCTTACAATTTAACTGAGCTCAGAAATGCCACATCATCCAATACACTGTGACTTAGATGTATTTTAGCATATCTGTCCAAAGAATCATAAAATAAATATGGCAAGATGCAGTGTTAAATGGTCTCTTTCTCTGAGCATTAAGCCATGCCCTTCCACATCACTGATTCTGCACTCAAAAAATTAAAAATGTTCAAGTGCTACAACACTTAACTGATCAATTCTGTAAGTCTATGACGATCTGTAGAGGTGAACATTAATGTTGGAAGAGCACAGTGATACAATATTTCTAACCTCAGTCTTTCAAAAAAGATTTAAACACACATACACACACACACACAAATATAAACATATATGCTTTTGCAGTTCCTTCTGTATGCCTTAAAAACAAACAAACAAAAACTTGTTTCCATTCAAGATCATCTCTGTCATTTTTAAGGCTATAAATACTCTGTTTTCCTTTGTGGAAGCTGACAGTTAGTGACACTCACATGACTCCAGGAACTTAAGCTTTACAATAAAAAGTCGAAAGAAAAACTACCTGTTACTGTAAACTAC